AGCGCTTTGGAAGGCCCAGGCAGGCAGATCACCTGAGGTCAGGAGTTGGAGACGAGCCTGGCCAATATGGTGAACCACCTTTCTACTAAAAATACAAAAATTAGCCGGGCGAGATGGCAGGCACCTGTAATCCCAGCTACTTGGAAGGCTGAGCCAGGAGAATCACTTGAACCTGGGAGGTGTATGCCACTGCACTCCAGCCTGGGCGACAGAGTGAGACTCTAAAAAAAAAATGTTGTTTTCTTAAAATGTATTTTAAAAGCTTTACATTTTGATTATAGAAACACTTGCATTTGGGCTTGAATTTGAAGCACGCTGAAACGTGTCTTGTTACACAAACATGGTTGTTTACAATGTGGAAACCACAGAATAATGGGAGCAGCAGTGCCCAGTGTGTGAGGGCATGCCCTAGAGCTTTAGTTGGTGTTTTATACTTCAGAGAAAAAAGTAATTTTGATCCTTTGTGGAAAGGATTTTAGGTCAGGAAACCCATTTTTTCATACTTTCTCAAAACCAATTAATTGCAACAGAGTTAATTGGAGAAAAATGGAGGATGTGGTGAAGTTTATAGCTATTCTGATGCCTGAATGCCACGTTCCATATGACTTAAAACACCCAAAGATTAATCAGTTTATGAAACAGGATTTTAAAAATAGAAGATGTGCCAGGCGTGGTGTCTCACGCCTGTAATCCCAGCACTTTGGGAGACCGAGGCGGGTGGATCACGAGGTCAAGAGATCGAGACTATCCTGGCCAACACGGTGAAACCCCGTCTTTATTAAAAATACAAAAAAAGTAGCCGGGCGTGGTGGCACGTGCCTGTGGTCCCAGCTACACGGGAGGCTGAGGCGGAAGAATCGCTTGAACCCAGGAGGTGGAGGCTGCAGTGAGCCGAGATTGCGCCACTGCACTCCAGCCTGGTGACAGAGCAAGACTCCGTCTCAAAATAAATAAATAAAATAAATAAATAAATAGAAGATGTGGTGTGATATTTTATCAAAAATAACTATGTTCAGCTTGGTGCGGTGGCTCACACCTGTAATCACAGCACTTTGGGAGGCCGAGGCAGGAGGCTTTCTTGAAGCCAGCAGTTCACTACCAGTGTGGGCAACATAAGGATACCCCATCTCTACAAAAATTTAAAAATTAGCCGGATGTGGTGGTGCCCACCTGTAGTCCCAGCTGTTGGGGAGTCTGAGGTGAGAAGATCACTTGGGCCTGGGAAGTCGAGGCTGCCGTGAGTGGCGCTACCGTGTTTCAGCGTGGGCAACGGAGTAAGACCTGGTCTCAAAATAAAATAACTGGCCGGCCGCGGTGGCTCGCGACTGTGATCCCAGCACTGTGGGAGGCCGAGGCGGGAGGATCACAAGGTCAGGAGATTGAGACCATCCTCACCAACATGGTGAAACTCCCATCTCTATTAGTAAAAAGTACAAAAATTAGCCAGGCGTGGTGGTGTGCGCCTGTAGTCCCAGCTACTCGGGAGGCTGAGGCAGGAGAATCACTTGAACCCGGGAGGCGGAGGTTGCAGTGGGCCAAGATTGCGCCATTACACTCCAGCCTGGGCGACAGAGTGAGACTCCGCCTCAAAAAAATGCAATAAAATAACTACATTCGGCCGGGCACGGTGGCTCACGCCTGTAATCCCAGCACTTTGGGAGGCCGAGGCGGGTGGATCACAAGGTCAAGACATCGAGACCATCCTGGCCAACATGGTGAAACCCTGTCTCTACTAAAAAATAAAAAATTAGCTGGGCGTGGTGGCACACGCCTGTAGTCCCAGCTACTCGGGAGGCTGAGGCAGGAGAATTCCTTGTACCCGGGAGGCAGAGGTTGCAGTAAGCCAAGATCGTGCCACTGCACTCCAGCCTGGCAACAGAGTGAGACTCCATCTCAAAAAAAAAAACAAAAACAAAAACCACACAAACACACACACACGCACACACACAAAACTACATTCAGCTCTGTATTTGTTCACATTTAACAGATTGAACTTTATTATTTGTCAGTGAAGAGGAAAATGTGATCTCACTTGTATTTTCAAAATTTTGCAATCTTTGTCACCTTAAAAAAGCACTCTAGTAGATTTGCCTTTTTCTCTTTCACTTTATTTGCTTATGTTTGGCTAGATTGCCTTCATAAAACATAATTATATGATTAAATCTTTTGTGTTCTAAAATGTTTGTGTGACTGAAAAAGTGAGGTCTTGACAGTAAAGAAAACCTGCCTTCCCCTCCCCTTGGCCTCAGCTGTGAGGAGTTTGGATTTGGACTGGGATTCACGGGACAGAGAGCTCCCGATCTCGGTTCCATCCCAAGCTGTTTCCCTTCCACGTCATGCTACTCTAGTGACTTTCATTTTATGGCGTTCAGTGAAGGGTCAGTTTAAATGAGGATCTATCAGGATACTTAGGAGACATTAACCTATCAGGGAAATACTTTTACTTTAGAAGTTACTGCTTAATGTTTGTAAAGAGATAGTAATATTAAGACTTTATAATGCTTTGACAGTATTCACAGGTGAAATGAGTGTATTTTGTTTTAACCTTTGGAAGCCAGCATAAAAATACTCTTAGGGTTTCTAAAACCTGTCTAAGAGTTGGAAAACAGGGTTTTTTAAAAGTACGTTTTGAGAATTGAGGTTTAAACTTATACACTTCTGTTTCCAGATTGTTTCTACCTAGGTTGGAACCTTAATCTATTTATAGGGTCTCTTGTCTATTTTTAATCCTTATAGTAATACAAACCCAGATGACAGTCAAGTTTTATTTCTCGGAGAGTTTGTCATTTTTAAGTTGTTTTCTGGCCTGGTACAGTGGCTCATGCCTATAATCTCAGCACTTTGGGAGG